CATTTGGGGACACCCCCCCCCAATTTATGTCACTAAGTGAAATGTCCATTAAGTGAGTTTTGCCTCATTTTATGACCCTGCTCGCTCCCATTGTGATGTGAATCACTGGCGTTGTTAAATTAGTACTGGACAGGCTAAACCGTTTGGAGTTGCAATGGCACTGAAAAATGTGATTTTTTTCCCCTGAGCTACCTAGAGTCCCTTTCTACCAATTTCCTCTCTAATGATTTATAACTGCTCGGTGCTACTCATAGAGGGTTGATAGGCTGGGTGGCGTAAAACGTTCGGGCAACCTCTAGTAACTTCTTCAGGTTGAAGTAGCCCAGGTGAACATTGTTCAGTTTGAGGAAGCCTTCTTGAACCCATCTCGTCTTCCTTGTCTTCAGACCGCATAGCCAGCGACCCCGAGACCTGCGAGATCTGTTTTAACGTCGCCTGCTCTGGTTGCTAAGTGAGAACCGGCCGTTTTCTCCACCGTTGGTCACCTGGTGGTGACCCATCCTGGTCTTCCTGTTGTGGCCTCCTACAACCTCTTGTTCGTAGTCACTTCCGGGTCATCTCCATACAATTCAGGACTGGCAGAGAGAGAGAGAGAGAGAGAGAGAGAGGAAAAGACATGGAAAATCAGCTAGGCACGATCCTGGAAACAAACCATGAAGTCTCCTTCTCAGTCGCTGCATTCACACCTTTACCCTAAGCCATTGTTTCCTTAATCATGGTTTGTTGGTATCATGGAATAAAACCACACTTGGATGGGTTCTATCGCACGCTCGGCTTACTTTTTGGACCGTAAAAGTTAGTTTGATAAGAACTAAGCCCAACAAAAGGTGGAAGCTGTACTTTTTGGCTCAAAGGCAGGAAGAAATGTTTGGTTTTTGCCACACAAAGTTAGCCTTCTTCTTGCCACAGTTTCCCCCCCCCCCCCCCCCACGTTCTCTCCACTCCCTGCCTGGCCATGGAGCCATTTCCTCTTCTCCCCGGGGCTGTTTCAGACTTTCTCCTCTCCTCCATCCCTTCCCTTAAATAAAGTTATTTTTGTACTTCTGCAACTCTTACATCTCGTGTTCTGCTGTCTCTCCGCCTTTGGTGGGCGGGAGCCGCTGGGCGCCATAAAAAACGCCTACCCCCACCTCTCCCCCCTCCCCAAAACAAAACTGTCCTGATGGGAAAGAGATTATTCGGTCAATAAAATGGTTTTTATGGGGCAATTCTTCTCCAGGGTGGTTTACTTGGGCTGGGTTAAGCGAGACGGGATGGGGTGAAGGTTAAGGCAGCTTCCTGGAAAGATTTACAGCTAATTTATGGTTGCGGACCGTCATGGAGCCAGCCCATCAGGGTTGTAAGTCAGTAACGGTCGTAAAATGAATCCATCAGGTGACTGTCCTGAAGTCCTGAACGCTCCATCAGTGGAAGTTTTGAAGAAGAGATTAGACAAGCCTTGGTTTGAAATGAGGTAGGGAGGGTTGGACTCTCCTTAAACAACAGAATGTCGGAGCTGGTGAGCGTGTGATCAGGAAAATATTAGAACCGTTAGGTTAACCCTGGCAATTAAAAGAGAAAGAACAAACTGAATACTGTAATGGTGTGGGGATCATTTTATCGATGGTTGGAGACGAAAGATGAGAGTGAGGAATAAAAGAAGACCTGTGAAATATGGGCAATATGTTCATCGGAGTTTATTATCTGAGATGAGGATGGTTATAATAACTTAGATATATTAGTTACATTAGTAATAAGCTAAGAGTAGAGAATTAATACTAAGGTAAATGATTATGCTTGGAAACTTTAATCATTATTGCACAAGATATTTGTACCCAGATGACACACCATTAAATGGAAGATGGACTGTTTGTATTAAACATAAAAAAAAATAGATAGATAGATGATAAATTAGAGAGATGAAAGATAGAGAGAGATGATAGATAGATAGATAGATAGATAGATAGATAGATAGATAGATAGATGGATGGATGGATGGATGGATGGATGGATGGATAGAGAGAGAGAGAGAGAGGGAGAGAGAGAGAGAGAAAGAGATAGATAGAAAGATATAGATAGATAGATAGGATAGATAGATAGATAGATAGATAGATGATAGATAGATAGATAGATAGATAGATAGATAGATAGATCAAAAGATAGATAGATGAAAGAGAGATAGATATAGATGACAGAAAGATAGATAGATAGATAGAAAGATATAGAAAGGTAGATAGATAGAAAGAGATAAATAGATAGATAGAAAGATAGATAGATAGATAAATAGACAGACAGAGATAGATAGATATAGATATATGGATATATGGATATAGATATAAAAAGAAAGTTTGAGCTCCGTTGTGAGGGAAGGATTCCCTGTATTGAAACAAAGAAGGGTTGGACGTAGGAAGGAGAAGTTCTTGAGATGTTTCTCCTACATTCAGGCAACTGACATTTCAGAGAGGTCTATTTCCATGGAGCACGAAGTCGGCCAGGGTTGACCGAAACCATCTCCATGGCCGATAGCGAGAGGAAAACAGAAGGGGGGGTGGGGGGGGGTTGAGATGGCCTGGGGTGGCAGGACGATCTCACCAAACCCGTCTGACAAGCAAAACTAGGCCATCCGTTTCTCTTTGACCCATATATTTTGGAGACCTTCTCCTCGTAGGTGACCATCCGTGGATCAAACCTTGGGAGATGCTTCCAAAAATATCCCCTCTTTTTTAAGTTTTTCGTGCCCTTACAGATAGCCTCCTCGACTGTTAGCAACCGTTCCAAGTTACGATGGCCCCGAAAGCGACCGAGGGACTGTTTTCCCCACACTTACGACCTCCCCCACCCAAATTGGCGACGGGGGGGGGGATTTTTCTCTTTGCAACCATCCGGCCAGCGAGGGAGCCCCCCGGTTCAGCTTTAACCCCCAGGTTGCTGACCGAACGCGTGCAATGGGTTCCCCTTAACGACGGCGGCCAAAGGGCAGTCGCGAAATGGGGGCAAGAGCCAGCGTCTCGCTGAACGGCGGAAAGTTGGGGCTTGTCATAAGTCGAGGGTGGAAAGCAACACCTGAACTTTAAACGAAACGTTTGGGGCGCCCCAAAAGAGATCAAGATGGGGGGTTGAAAGTCAAGGGGACATCAATGGCGCATCGAGGACATGCGCCAATTGGGGTGGGGGGAAGAAGGCGGCTGCCCCCAGGGCAGTGACTGGCAGGCAGGGAAGGTCACAGGCTGTGCAAGGTGGCCACAGGCGGGCTGGCGAATGGCTGCCTTCCTTGGGGTGGAGCCTGCAGGGCAGAGCCCATCCTGCTTACGCATCTAAAGGTTATGTGCTCAGGTGCGGCTGCTTCCCAAACAGGTGAAGACCCTCCAGGCTTGGTGGGCGTGGCAGGGGAAGGATACTGCAAAATCCCCATTTCCCTCCCCACCCCGCTAACCTGCTTTCCAGCTCCCTTCTCCTGTGCAGGGCAACCCAAGGAGACCCAGCCGATCAGCTGGGACTCAATGGGAGGCAGAGAAGAAATGGGGTTGGCGGGGCCAGACAGAGGCGGTAATTGGCCGGTTCTCCAAACGACTCAAAATTTCTGCTCCAGGTGGTTCTCCAGAACGGGTCAGAACCGGCTGAATACCCATCTCTGGTTTACAGGCTGGGTGTCCACGTTCTCCCATTAAACCTATTTGCGGGCCAAAGCTCTGTTATTTTAGTTACAATCTTTTAAAGATAAAGAGTTGGAATGCCAGGATCCCGGCGGGAAATGACCGGCCACCGATTTGAAGCATGGCCAAGACATCTACCCAACAGATCTCTCTACCCACCCAGGGCTCTTCCTGAAAAAAGAGAAAAAAATATATCATCAGATTCCAGATTCTAGGCTGTCAATTGCCTTTTCTCTGCACACAGATCAAGGCGGCGGATGTGACATCACAATGGCCGTGTACCCAGCGAGGCTGATAGCTCGGTCATCCTTGGAGGACAGAACTTCCTGGCCCTCAGGGATGGCAGAGGGCACCAGAAGACCCCGGAGAAGCAGCCCCAAGGCGCAGACGGGCGGTGGGGGGGTGGGCGACTCTGCTGGGCTTCCCGTCAGCCCAGACTGATGGGTCCACGATAGAGTGACATTTTTGTTTTTTTTATAACTCTGGCCTATACCGTATATCAGAGGTAAGACAACCGTAGCCAGAGTCTTTTGTGATCAGAAAGGGAGGTCCCCTCCTTGCCCAATTTCCAACCTGCAAACCCAAAATGCCCTGCCAGGATGGCGAGTTCAGGATGCAAAAACAAAAAGGAGGAAAAAACTCCAAAGTGAAGGTTGTAATGTTGCTATTTTGTACTGTGTTAAAAAGAGTCGGAAGTCAGACCTTCACACGACTTCAACTTCCAGAGTGATACAGGTCTTTTCCTTGTTCTTCCTTCCTTCTTCCAATCCAATGTTCTCAACCTTGGCCACCTGAAGACCTGTAGACTTCAACTTCCAGTACTGAAGTCCACATGTCTTCAGACCTTCACACAACTTCAACTTCCAGAGTGGTGCAGGTCTTCCTTGTTCTTCCTTCCTTCCTCTAGTCCAATGTTCTCAACCTTGGCCACCTAAAGACATGTGGACTTCAACTCTGGAAGTTGAAGTCCACACATCTTCAGGTCTTCGCACGACTTCAACTTCCATAGTACAGGTCTTCCTTGTTCTTCTTTCCTTCCTTCTAGTCCAATGTTCTCAACTTTGGCCACCTGAAGACCTGTAGACTTCAACTTTCAGAGTTAAAGTCCACATGTCATCGGATGGCCAAGTTTGAGAACATTGGACTAGAAGGAAGGAAGGAAGAACAAGGAAGACCTTTGAGACAGGACCTCATCCCTAAATTCAGCCCTTCTGCCTATATACTAACTACACCATCCTGGAGAAATGTTAAAAGATGGAGGGCCATCAACTCAGAGGTTGTCTAGATCTTGTTGATGCAACTATCAACCTTTCCTTCCATCCCACACTAGCTACAAACTTCTTCTGTTCTTTTGTTTGATAGCTCACGATGAGTACCAGCCAGAAAAGAGGACAGGTCACCAAGCTGAAGCCAAGACCCCTTGGTTTGAAAGAAGGTAAGTTTCAAAAGACCTCTTACTGCAGCTGTCTCAACTTGAAACGGTTCCCAGGAGTGGCTTTGTTTGTCTTTTGTGAATTTGGTCATTGTAGTTTGGAAATCTCAAGTTTATGGCTTGCTATTATAGCAAATGTACCCAGAATGAGTATATGTACGTATGTATGTACAGTATGTATGTATGTATGTATGTATGTACAGTATGCATGTATGTATGTGTATGTATGCATGTATGTATGTATGTAACCTGGTTTGTTGAACTGAGCCTGTCTCCTTGTCTTGGAGCCAGGATTGACCGAGATGTACCAGGGGGAGCTGCTTTGTGACGTCACGCTGGTGGCCGATGGACAGAGGTTTCCTTGCCACAGGTAAGGCTCCCACAGGTGCCACTTCAGTGGGCCGGCCATGCTCTCATGCTTCATCCCCAATTCCACTGGCAGCAGTGAGGCAGAGGAACAAGGGGAGCCTGTTCCCAGTGCGCGTGTGCGCAGGGCTGCCAGAAGACGAGAGCAGCTGAAACAAAAGGGGAGCCTCGGGAGTAAGGCTGGGAGGTGATTGCCCTTCCCATAAGGGATAAAAGTCAGACCTCGGTGACGTGCTCTTTGCAGGAAGCAAAGTAGTTCAATTGGTTCCAAGTTCTCCATGGTTGTTGTTGTTTTTTTTTGGTACAGTTGGTTTCTTTTATAGTTAATTGGATACTTCTGTTTTTGGCTACATTCCACAGAACTGAAAGGTGGGTGCTTATCTTGGGGAACTATTTAAGATGAGTTCTGACTGGGAATGCAAACAATTCCCAGCGTTGCAATAAAATAGGTTTTGCTTTTAAAACATGTTTGTGATTAATTATGATTGACGAAGTCTGGGTCATAACAAACGTAAGACAGGATAGGGTGGGGCCAACTGATCGTTGTTTGTAGCGGTTTGCCAGAACCAGTCCGAACCGGCAGGAGCCTACCATTTGCACCCATGTCTCAACCCCACGCGGACATCTGCCTCTCGTTGCAGGGCCTTGCTGGCAGCCGTGAGCCCTTATTTCCGGGATGTCTTCGTCCAAGGTGGGAAAGACCTGGAAGGGTCAGAGGTCCAGCTGGAGAACGTCCCTCCGTCCCTCCTGCAGAATATCCTGAAGTACATCTACACGGAAGAACTTGCCCTGACTTCCGAGCTGGCGCCGTCACTCTTCACCGGAGCCAGCCAGCTGCAGATCCTCCCCTTAGAAACCGTCTGCTGCCGGTAGGTCTCCAGGCGTTCCCTCATACGGTTGGGCCAAGGGTGTTGCTGGCTGGTTTGAACTCGTCCCTTAAGATCTCTCGGTGGTCTCCCATCCCAGCCACCCCAAGGCATGCGTGAATGGGACAGACGTAGAGAGGAAGGCAAGGCGGAACAGCAAGACTCAAAACAAGATTTGACCTTTTCTGTCCATGTTTAGGAAACCAGCCAATCGGTTAAAAAGCTAAAAGATTAGGTTTTAAAAATTGGTTTAAAAACCTAAAAGAGCTTTTTTTTTTTTTTTTAGTGGGTTAAAGGAACCAGGTGATTGTGAGTTCTAGTTTCACCTTAAGCCATGAATGCCATCCGGGTGTCTTTGGGCGACTCAGCAGGAGACGGGGAATTCTAGTCCTGGCTTAGCCATGAAAGCCAGCTGGGTGACTTTGTACCAGTCCCTCTCTCTTAGCCCAACCCACCTCACAGGGTTGTTGTTGTGGGGGGGGGAATAGGAGGAGGAAGGCATGTTAAGCATGTGAGGTCCTTGGTGTAACATTTCACGACCAAACTAGATAACGTCACCAATGATGCACTGATGATGTTACCTAGTTGGGTCATGAAACGTCTGCACGAAAACCACCCTGAGCGACCCATATTGTCTTCTGTTGCTCTCCTCGTTCTTCCGCCAAAAACACCCTGCCCTTCTCGCTTATTTTTGTAGACCAAACAGGTCTCCCCTTCCATCTCTCTCTCTCCTTCTAGGTTCCTGGTGACGCATCTCTCCGTCCAGAACTGCTTCGAGATGTATTCCTTAGCTCAGGTGCACCACAGCCAGCCTCTCCTCCATGCCGTCCTGCAGGTCCTGATCCGGAACTTTGACCGGACTTTCGAAGAGGACAATTTCCTCCGACTGGACGCCGGCGATCTGGCCGCCGTCATCTCCTCCGACGACCTCGACGTGGCTTCCGAGCTCAAGGTCTACCAGGTGGTACGGCGGTGGGTGCAGGGCAAGCCCACCAAGCGTGGCCCCTTCCTTGGAGAGCTTCTGCACCATGTCCGCTTCCCGCTTTTCGGTCCCGAGGAGCAAGACGTCCTCCAGGAAGATCTGGAGAGACGGGACGATCTTGAACTCGAACGGAAAGTCATGGACGGCCCGGAACGCTTGCGACAAAGCGGTGGGCTGCGGCAAGGCATGTACAAGCCGCACATCCTCTGCATCGATACCCAGATGTGCGAGTATCAACAGCTGGAGAGTGAGGAGGCCCACATGAGCTGCTATGAGCCACAGGCCGAAGTCTGGGAGAAACTCCCCGGCTTACAATCGTTGACTCACGCTTGCTGTACCTCCAACGGAGACAAGGTCTACCTCTCGGGAGGCGTCTACAAAAACGCGTACTCCAACGCCGTCTACGAATTCGACGCCTTCACCAACCAGTGGCTGCAGCTCCCGGCCATGCAGATCCCCCGGGCGGCCCACGGCTTCGTGTACGACCGTCAAAAACTCTACGCCATGGGAGGCTGGCGCAGATTCCAGAGCTTCCTCAACTTGGCCGAGCGCCTGGACCTCGTCACGGAGAGATGGACTCCGATGGCCAAGCTGCCCTTCGCCCTCAGCCACCCTGCCTCCACCGTGTTGCGGGAGAAGGTGTATCTCCTTGGAGGTGCCACCGGGGTCTCCAACCACTGGCTATTTCACAAGGGGGTCTTGATCTACACGATGGATTCCAACACCTGGACGCAAGTCCCTCTGGCGACGGGCTTCTTCGCCGCGGGCGCCGTGGCCGGCGAGAATGGCATCTATGTCATTGGGGGTTACACCGAGAAGAAGAACGAGGATTGGCAGGAGAGGGCCTTAGTGCCCGAGAACCGCCACAGCACCCGTAAATGCTTCTTTGTCAACGAGGCTGGCAAGGTGAACGCCAATGTGGCTGTTCCCAAGCTGCGGCGCAGTTTGGCCAACGCAGGGGTGATCCGTTGCGGCACACGGATCTATGTGTTGGGCGGAGAAGATCTGTCCCAGCGATACAAAGTGATCTACCACTGGCAGCCGGGAGAGACCCGCTGGCACCGGGCCGGTGCTGAAATCCCCGTGCCGCGAGAAGGCATCAGCCGATTCGGGTGTGCGACGTTGCTGAGGCCCAAGCCTCATATTCTCCAACTCTTCCAAGTGACCTCGGTGGTCATCGTCTCGGCGGTCGCCAAATCGTAGTTCCCACCAACCGGTTCGGCTTCGTGCGTGAACATCAGGCAGGGACGATCAATGCATTCCATTCTAATGAGGTACACTCCCAGGTGGCTTCTAAGGGCCTTGGCCTGGTGGCCTTTCAAGAGTACTACAAAGACCATGGGCCACTGAACAATCAAGCTTTGCCATAGATTGACTTTCAGATGTCTCCAAAGCGCCAAATCCCAGCAGCTTGGCAACATCTCACCCCAAAGACGTTGACTGTTCTCACCGTACATCTTTTAAGACCTCAAGTTACCACCTGCTAGAACTTCGCGGACTTTAAGGACCTGAGAGTCAAGTCGCTGTTTTTCATTCCTTTCTTTTCAATACATTTGAGCGGCAATGGAAGGCATGGTCTATGGGAGGGGCGGGGGGCACTCCTGTGGGATTGGGTTGCTTTATTCTGGTCGAGTCGTTGGATGAAAGAGGACGGTGGAGGTTCTTCATTCTTTGAATCAGTTTGAATCAGAATAGAGCTGGAAGGGACCTTGGAGGTCTTCTAGTCCAACCCTCTACTCAAGAAGGAGACCCTATACCCGTGATGGTGAACCTGTCGTATGTGCCGACACGTAAGCCATTTGTGCCGACACGTAAGCTGCAGGCAGACTTACCTCATTGTGCATGTGCGTGCCTTGAGGAAGGCTTCTGCAGGCTTCTGCAAGTTTTGCAGGCCGAAAACTAGGCCCGTTTCGTCACTTCCTGTTTTTTTTCGGAAATACCGGAAGTGACAAAACGGGCCTAGTTTTCAGCCTGCAAAGCCTGCAGAAGCCTTCCTCAAGCCTCTGGGAGGCTGAAAAAGGCCTCGAACCGGCCAAAAACCAGCTGTGAGGTACAATGCAAGTAGGGGGCACGGTGTGCTGGCACACAAGTGCGAGCGTGCAAGAGTGCGCACAATTTTTGGCATAGGAGCCCCATAAGGTTAGCCACCACTGCCCTAGACCATTTCAATCAATCAATCCGGATAGAGCTGGAAGGGACCTTGGAGGTCTTCTAGCCCAACCCCCCCTTACTCGAGCAGGAGACGCGACTATAACTCGAATTGACAGTGGTATCAATCCTCCTTCGTCTGCTAATTATACTATGAAAACATTTTAAACATTACAAAAGGAATATAATTTGCCCAGATACTGGAGCTTCTCATTCATGAATGAAAGGCAGAGATGCTTGTGGGCATCTAGACTCTGTGTGGGACAAGGGGGTTGTCCGGTGGGGGCCCGGCGTGTTTGTGAGTACGTGTGTGTGTGTGTGAGAGCGAGAGAGAGAGAGAGAAGGAGAAAAAGTGAGAAAGAGAGGGAAAGAGAGAATGAAAGAGAGGGAGGGAGAGAGAGAAAGAGACGGTAAGACTGTGAGAAAAACAGAGACAGACACAAAGAAAGAGTACGGAAAGAGTAAGAGAGTGAGGGAAAGACAAAGAGAGCGGGAGAGAAAGAATGAAAGAGAAAGAGAGAGGGAGAGAAAGAATGAAAGAGAAAGAGAGGGGCCCCTTTCAGCAGGCAGACCCTTCCAGACCAGTGAGGGCCACAGTTGTCTTGCGGAACAACTCCAGGATCGGCTTCTTGGGCAGTTTGACCGCAGCACAGCCGAAGCCACTGACCCCCCAGTTGGCGAAGGGCAGCCGCTCCTGGCAGCGGATCCAGCGAGGGGCACCCTGCTCCCAATAGTAGACGGTGTTGTAGTACTCCTCCTCATTCTCGCCCGCCGCCCGCCGCCCCAGGGCCACATTCTCTCCACCCAGCACGTAGATCCGCTGTTTCCAGCGCACCACGCCCGCGCCGGCCAGTTCCACGGGCAAAGGTGGCACAGTCACGCGATGGTCCACACGCCCATCGGGGCCCAGGAAGAAGCAGCGTCGGGTGCAACGCAGCCCGTCCTGCTCTGGCCGACGGTCGCGCGTGGGCTGGTGGTGCCGCACGCGTCCGCGGAAATAGCCCCCCACGACGTAAATGCCTTCGTTCATGGCCACGGCGCCGGCCCAGTAGCCGCCGCTGCTGAGGAAGGCTTGGCTCCACTGATCAGCGCCCACCTGGTAGATGAGCACCTTCCGTGACGCGTACCAGGCACCCACTGCTTCCGTTGCACCTCCCACCAGGTAGAGGCGCCCGTGCAGCGCGGCTGATGCGAAGTGGCTGAGTGGCAGCGGCAGGCGGGCGATGCGTGCCCAGCGCCGCTCGGTGAGGTCATAACTCTCGGCTGAGTCAAGGTAGTCCTCGAAGTTGCGCCAGCCGCCCACTGCAAAGAGGCGGCCGCCCCAGGTGAGGAATCCGTGGGAGGCCCGGGCCACCGACATGGGCGCCAGGCGGCTCCAGCGGCCCCGCAGAGGGCTGTACTCATGCAACATATCTGAATAGGTGTCGTCGGTGTGGACACCACCTGTGACAAATAGCCGGTCGCGCAGCGCCACGCACCGCGCGCAGTAGAGCCTTTCCAGCAGTGGCAGCTTCTCCCAAAGGCCGGCTTGAGGGTCATAGCAGCCGACTTGGAAATCCTTAGTGCGCAGCTCAGGGCCCTCCAGGTTGAAAAGATCCACGCACACGATGCAGGTGTTAAACATGCCCCGCCGGAGACCCCCACACTGGGCCAGCCGCTCCTGCCGATTCAGGCGCCTCCAGCGTGGGCGCAGCTCCTTGGGCCGCTGGAGCAGTTCGGTTTGTACCTGGCGCAGCTCTTCCGGGGTGAGCAGCGGGAAGCGCACCTGGGCCAGCAGGCGGGCCAGGAAAGGCAGGCGGAGGGTGCTCTGGGCTTGCACCCAGCGCCACGCGGCCCGGTAGACCAGCAGCTCGGAAGAGACCAGGAGGTTGTCGGAAGCCAGGATGCTCTCCAAAGTGCTGGGGTTGAGGTCCAGGAAAGTGGGCGCCTCCTGGGACAGGCGCTTGAAGTGGGTGTGCACCAGGCTCTTGGCCTCCTGGAAGAGCGCAGGGTCGTTGTGTGAATAGCCCAGCTGGTAGATGCTCAGGCAGTTCTCCGGACAGAGGTGTTCCAACAGGTAGCTGCAGGTAGAGGAGGAATGTAAGGGCCGGTGGTGGGATTCCAAATTGCATGCTACTGATTCTGTGCACTCTAAGATCTCTTCGCGCATGCACGCAAAACTCAAATATCACTTCCTGCGT